GAATATAACTGAAAAATTTCATTTTTTCTGAAAAGGTGGTGTCTATTTACTTGTGACCACGCTGCGTACGTCTATATGATAAGATGTTTACTTAACCTATTGACACAAGTAATAAATTTTGCCCACCCCTGAATGGTAACATGCCCACCTTCAATACATTTGTTTGAGCTTTATAGCCTACATGTAAAGGTTACACACGCATGTATATACTTATTAGAAATAGCTCATTTTACACTATAATCCAACAATTAGCATGTAGTTCTCATCATGGGGCACATGTAACTGCTTGGAGTATTTTCACAGTTATTTCTTACCTAAATATGTTATAGTGAGAGATACAGTTCAATTGTATTTAGGTCTTACTTTTATATTTTAGATAATTATGGATTATTTAAGTTTTAAAATACACAATTTAAAGGTTTAAAACATTCTTTAAATGTACAACATACTTTGCATCAGTTCTCAAGGCTTATGAATGTTGCAATATTATGCAGTATACAAAAATTTTGCACAAGGGTTACACATCTCTGCAAGAGATAATATGCCCTGAGGGCATCATTGACTTTTGACAAGAGAGGAAAATAAAACATTAAAAATTAACTATATGTGAAAAGGAAAAGACCTTAAATCATGAATATAACAAAAAGAAGATCTTTAAGTATCCTTCCACAGTTAAGGTCACTTGTAATATATCAACCCATTCTGAAAGGGTTAATTAACAACTTCACACATTGTAGCATGAAAAATGTAATATTCTTAAAATAAAATCAAATACTGTTCCTCATTCAAGCACAGTTTTTCACATACACAAATGGAAAAAGATTAAATTATTCTATGAGTGTTTCCTACAAACACAGATTTCCAGGTCAAGATCGAAATGGTTATTGTACAGGCATAAAAAAATGACAAAAAGACACCATAACCATACCAATTATTTTTTTTAATAGCACTAAAAATGTCTTACAATCAAATCAGATTAATGAAGTAAAATGTAAATGCAATTCAAGTATAAACCCACCAGCAACACATCAATGGTAAGTAGTGTTGCTGGTGGATTTATATTTGAATTGCCTTAGCATTTTACTTCATTAATGGTGAGTAGTGTTGCTGGTAGATTTATGAAGTAAAATGTTAAGGCAATTCAAATATAAATCTACCAGAAACACTACTCACCATTAATGAAGTAAAATGTTAAAGCAATTCAAGTATAAATCCACCAGCAACACTACTCACCATTAATGATGTAAAATGTTAAGGCAACTACTCACCATTAATGAAGTAAAATGTTAAAGCAATTCAAGTATAAATCCACCAGCAACACTACTCACAATTAATGAAGTAAAATGCTAAGGCAATTCAAATATAAATCTACCAGTAACACTACTCACCATTAGTGAAGTAAAATGCTAAGGCAATTCAAGTATAAATCCACCAGCAACACTACTCACCATTAATGAAGTAAAATGCTAAGGCAATTCAAGTATAAATCCACCAGCAACACTACTCACCATTAATGATGTAAAATGTTAAGGCAATTAAAGTGTATAAATCCACCAGCAACACTACTCACTATTAATGAAGTAAAATGCTAAGGCAATTCAAGTGTATAAATCCACCAGCAAAACTACTTAATGAAGTAAAATGTTAAGGTAATTAAAGAGTAAATCCACCAGCAACACTATTCACCATTAATGAAGTAAAATCCACCAGCAAAACTACTCACTATTAATTAAGTCAAATGTTAAGGCATTTCAAATATAAATCCACCAGCAACACTACTCACCATTTTCCCTATCATGGTTACATATGGACCAAGATATTTGTTTACACTCAAAAAGTCTAAACTCCTGATGTACCAGTACATAATATCCATACTGTAGATAACTCGGCCTTCTTCATGAGTTGGGGGATGAAGGCGTAATGCCATACCAACCAGAAAACATAAGATTAATGCTAGGTCACATGGGTTCCACTTCTTTTCCAACCACACTGAAATTTTCTGAGCTAGTTTCACCGGCTCAGAACAAACAATCTGCATCAAATAAACAATAACTTCATTAATAAGTGGCTCGCAAAATGCATTAGTTTTAGTTATAAAGTTATTTATTATATAAAAATGCAACAGTAATGTTGTAACCAATCTTTTGTATTTTCTCATACAATAACTCATTGACTAATGTTAGTCACCCAGTCTTCTGGAAAACAAATACTAACTATTTAAAAATAAAGACTGCAATATTTGTCAAAATAAATCAAGAGGTAAAATGAAAGTGTCTACGACATACATATACTTTCTTTACTTCAATTCAATACCCAAATGTTGTGTGTATATTCCACAATAAATGATATAACAATAAACAACTGCACCTTTGTTAAAAAAAGAAAAGTAAGATTAGCATTATTCCAGAAGTGCCTTATGGAGATCTAAAGCAATGAGAACTTAAAAGAAATACATGTACTTCGAAATATGTCTGTCAAATGTGTCAAAAATTTCAGCCTTGTTTAAACAATCTGTAAGAAGGACCATATGATGTAACTTATGGTATCATTTTTTTACATCACTGACCCATGTAATGAATATAGTAAAAAGATTTATAATTACAGTATTGTAAATACACCTATTATACCTTAAAATTGGCAAGTTTAATTAAAGGGTAACTCCTATCCCTCTCCGTGAAGTTACTTGTATTCTACCAGAACGGATTGTGTGTGTCAATGAAAGATCGTAGTGATGCAAATAGCAGTTCCTAATTCTTTATTTCACTATAATTTCATAAATAAAAATAGTACTATTAAGTTGAACACAACTGTCTTTCAGTGAAATTTGTTCAAAAAAAGATTTCCTCTTGCATCTTCTCCACACCTAAGGTACAGAGGTAGACAGTCATATACATATCCTGTCAAGATGGGATGCATATGTACTTGTACCACACAAGTATAGAAGCACATTAAAACACCATAAACAATCTAGAGAACAAAAGCTGATTTACCTCTCGTATCTTCTCCACACCTAAGGTACAGAGATAAGCTATTACATACAACTCCTGCCAAGATGGGGTGGGTTGCATACGTACTAACACCACGTAAGTGTAGAAGCACATGAAAACACCATAAGCAATCTAAGGAACAAAAATTCTGTTACTCAACTTGTAGAAATAAATGAAGACATCATAAACGAAATGCACCAGGATAAGAGATTTGAAGTAAAGAAACAAAGGGATTGTGATATTTACAGTAAACTTTACCAAAAATGACAGATGTAAAGCAAAATAAAACACATTAAGCAATCTAAGTCAAACATATAGTTGTTTAAAAGCAATATATGTTATTTCGAACAATTCAAACTGGAGAATTAAATAAACAAACTAAATAAAAAATTGTAAGAAGTTTAACTTTTTTTTTACCTAAGAAAAGGCATAATATGTTATGTTAACTGTAAAGTTACCTTTTTATCTCACGATAATATAAGCAATTTAAACAAAAGTATGATCAGTGGAAAAGTGTGGAAACAAGCATATAACTTAGACCAGAAATACTATATTTACTTATACAAAGCATGAAGACATGTAAGTGCATTATAAGATCAGAAACATTACACTTTGATATAAATATAAAAGATGTATAAGCATGTAATTTAGACGAAAAAACACTAAACTAAGATGTAGTAATGCAAGAAACACACAAGTAAATAACTCAGACCACATTTAGAGGTAGAAAACATATGAAGACATTAATAAATATGTACATAATTAAAACCAAAAGCAATACACTTATATGTACAAACACATGACAACATGTTTATAACTAACTCAAATCACAGTTAGAAGTAGAAAACACGAGAACGTGCAAATACATAACTCAGACCAGAAACACTACACTTTGATGTAAAAACATGTGATGCCTTGAAAGTAAGTAACTTTGATCAGAAACACTACACTTTGATGTAGAAACATGTGATGCCTTGAAAGTAAGTAACTTAGATCAGAAACAGTACACTTTGATGTAGAAACATGTGATGCCTTGAAAGTACATAACTAAGATCAGAAACACTACACTTTGATGTAGAAACATGTGATGCTTTGAAAGTACATAACTAAGATCAGAAACACTACACTTTGATGTAGAAACATGTGATGCCTTGAAAGTAAGTAACTTAGATCAGAAACACTACACTTTGATGTAGAAACATGTGATGCCTTGAAAGTACATAACTAAGATCAGAAACACTACACTTTGATGTAGAAACATGTGATGCCTTGAAAGTAAGTAACTTAGATCAGAAACACTACACTTTGATGTAGAAACATGTGATGCCTTGAAAGTAAGTAACTTAGATCAGAAACACTACACCTTGATGTAGAAATACACAACGCCATGAAAGTAAGTAACTTAGACCAGAAACACTACACATGCATATAGAAAAATAGGAAAGGACCCTACATATTTTAAGTGAGAAATGATAGACTTCATGGTAGAAACATTTGAAGTGATCATAAGCAGCATTTAAATACAAATACTACACTTAGATGAAGATGACATAAACCTAACCACAGAAATCTTGTTTTTCAAATATACTCACAGTATGTCCCCAAAACTTTGTGATAGGAGCTGCATAAAATTCATAGATTTTCTTGCCAAGCTTTAAGGGTCGCTTCTTTGTCTTCACAGTATGACCACTTAAGTCACCATTGGGAAGGCTTTCCACATTGTATTTTCCATTTTCTAGGATAGCAAATCGCACATTAGAGCTGCAGCGTGGAACAGTGTGTGCAGCAAGGCTTGTAAGGGACTAAGAGAGAGAGAAAAAAGTTTTGTTAGTTCTTGCTTTAAAAGTAGCTTTTATCTTTTACATAAATGCTTACTTATGTGAACTTAATATAATTTACAAGACTGGCAAGTCAACTGAATACATTTGTGTTTAAGCAACTTAAATTGTATTTATGTTTCAAGTGGATTCTTTTACTGAAGACTTTGAGAAAAGGAAGGTAAAATCTTATGAATTTTGAATAACTTTTTTTAACTAATAAATACCAAATGTGGGTGTTAATATTAAATTCATCTGGTTTAGAGTTATGAGAACTCGTTAACAACAGTATTTACTCTGTATCTAAAAGTGGAACAGCATAATCTTAGCAGTGCTTACTTGAAGTTTCAAAACCCAGGAAAACATTATAAAGATCAACTGTGAACATTAAGGCATTCTCTCACCCAGATATATATGATAAAAAAAAACTCACACAAGTGAATTTAGTAAATGTTGTGCAATATTAAATTTTAATGGGGTCTTAGGTAATAATGGCTGTATCATACAATTTAAAAAAAAAAAGAAAAGAAAAGAGGTACATGTCATAACATGAAATAGAGAAAGTTATATATCCCTAACAGAAATGAGCATGAATGTATGTGTGTCTAATTATTCATATATTTCTCTGGTCTTTCAGCAAATCCTTTACTATTTTTGTGCTAGTATTATTAACAATAACTAAACACTACAACTATCACCAGAACTAATTAGTTATTAATCATTGTTGATTAAATGAGTCAAGGAAAAAAATATTATGTGACTAATATAATTATAGCTCAGATATCGTGATCTTTCACGTGGAAGTCTAACATGCTACTCCATATCACCCCAGTTTGTTTATACTATAAAATTTGGATATGACTAGAGTACAATAATTGCTATGGAACATTACACATCTAACCGACATAAAAAAAACCTTACATACCGTGAACTTTCTCCTGGAAGTCTGGGGAAGATAACACAAATACATAAGTTAGGTATCCAATATGTCATATGAACCAAAGAAAGAAAAAACCTCTCTCTTTGAACCTATTTACTTAAGTCCTAAAGCAAACCCTAGCTCCTATACTGCAGTGATTAGGTTCTAAAAGTGAAACAAAAAAATGAATGAATGTATGACTGCAAAAAGCCCTGCATATAAACCGATGTGGAATTAATATATATTGTATTTATCAGAATGTAATGTTGGTATATATATATATATATATATATTTTCTGAAATAAAGTATGAATATTCTAAAATGCTTATTTTTGTTGTTGAATCACTGATGTAAGCTACAATAATCAGTTTTTCATGATGTTGCCAATATACTATACTAACCTCCATATTGTACGGATTCCCCAAAGGAGGGCGTTCTTCATGAGAGGTAGTGTCAGATTCAGACTCTTCATCTTCTTCCTTATTTAACATGTGTTCTTCTTCTGTCTGAGGCATGAGCTGAAGTTCCTCTTTGGTTTTGAAATCCAGCGTCAGTATGGTGAGGGGAAATAATAAACCTAAAATCACCTACAATACAAAATAACAGGCTATAGAACATTTATAGGTAAAAAAAACACCTACAAAAATCACTTACAGTACAAAATAACATGCTATAGATCATTTATAGGTAGAAAAAACAACTACAAGATCAATTACAGTACAAAATAACAGGCTATGGATCATTTGCAGATAGAAACAACAACCACATAATCACTTACAGTACAAAATAACAGGCTAAAGATCATTTATAGGTAGAAAAAACAACTACAAGATCAATTACAGTACAAAATAACAGGCTATGGATCATTTGCAGGTAGAAACATCTTCAAAATCACTTACAGTACAATATAACAGACTATAGGCCATTCATAGGTAGAAACAACATCTTCAAAATCACTTACAGTACAATATAACAGACTATAGGCCATTCATAGGTAGAAACAACATCTTCAAAATCACTTACAGTACAAGATAACAGACTATAGGCCATTCATAGGTAGAAACAACATCTACAAAATCACTTATAGTACAAAATAACAGGCTAAAGATCATTTATAGGTAGAAAAAACAACTACAAAATCAATTACAGTACAAAATAACAGGCTATGGATCATTTATAGGTAGAAAAACAACTACAAAATCACTTACAATACGAAATAACAGACTACAGATCACTTACACGTGGAAATAACCCCAAAATCACCTACAATATATACAAAAATTACATTTTTACAGAAGTCCAAGAAAATACATGGTACAAACAACATTTATCCAATTACAATTATCCAAATACAAAACTTCAATATGTTAATAATATATAACAGCCCAAGACTTAAGTAAAGAAAAGTCAATGGTCACAGACACATACAGTACACACCACTTCATTTGTATATCCAGGGTTATATTAATGATGCAGACAATTTAAAAACCAATCTTATCTATAACAAATAGCTACAAAACTCATTAAAAAAAAAGATAAACCATTGCTTTTATCAGTGGCATAAACATAGAAAAGACAACAGTAACACATATATATATTAATAATATGCTTGAATATAGCAATCTTTAAAGTTAACTGTACCTACTTGTACAAAAATATTTGAAGTTCAAAAATAATCTGATTTCATTTATTTCATTATTTAAAGTTCATTAATTTCATTACAACTACTCAATACATTCTACACAGAACAGTAGTGGAACAGACTCTTCAAACACTACTACAAAGATTACATTCTAAAAGTAATTAGTATAATCAAATATTTGAAGTTCTCAAACTATAATGTGTAAGTTGATATGAAAGAAACACTTTATTCTTGTGTGAATGTTAATCAGATGTACCTTTAGGTTTGTGTTCTTTCTGGTTCGAAGACCTCCCATCCACAAGTCTGCTAACAACATTTGAGATGCAGTGTGCGCCAGAAAGGAGCTATGTTTAGCATTAACAGCCATCCCTAAGCATGTCTGTTCACTCCAGTTTTGAAGTTCATATGTTAGTAGTTGGAGAGTAATGTCATTGTCTTGACGATAACAGTAATCTAGCAGATCAAGTGCTCGAGTTTCAAAGTCTCTAAATTAAACAAAAAAGGAGATAATAGTTTAAAACCTCTGTATTAGCTTATATATGTATAGCCCAAGTTTTAGGGCCCTAGAATTTTAAGTATAACTATACAAATTTAAAAATAATAGTAATCGCATGATGTTATAATCATATTAGAAAACCAATTACCACAGTGCAAGAAATTAATGTGTATATTTCACATATTAAACCCAAATCGACTACCAGAAAATTAACAAAACCTGAAATGACAAATGTTACAAGCAAAATTTTAATTTTTCATCAGACACAGTTTACACACACGCACACTCATTCAGAGATAAAATTTCAAGATATTTTAATAGCTAAGTACAGACTACACCAAATATTAGCTCATAGTCTATCCCTCAACAAGTTTGTAGCAGGTGATTTTTAACCCTATCCAGACTGGTGAGCATCTATTAGGTGTTGAGTGCACACCTGCATATCAAATTTTTAAATTCAAATAAAAATAATAATCCTAGCTCTATTTCAACAATTTTCACTCAATTATTTTTATAACTTTTAGTTTGTAAAACTTTTTTTAGTGTAATTCATACAGAAAAAGGAACGAAAATGTTCAAAATTTTTTTGCACAGTTCTGAAGAGTCTCACTTCTGCATAACACACTTATCAATATTCTTAGAATTTTTCTACCCATCCCAAAGCATAGGATTTAATTTGTTAAGAAACTATCATCCCTTGATTAACTAATCTTATTTATCATCTGGTTTTCCATTTTTGTCTGATGATTTATTTACAGGCTTCTGTTCCCACCCTTTTATGACTTCATAGGATATCATATGACAACTGTTAATGAAGAAACAGCTTTGAAAGTAGCTACAGGCAGTTTTAATACCATTAGATACAATAGATTATAAGCTATTTATTGAATATTCTTGTTAAGTTTATCATATTCAAACAATATAAATAAGTAAAAGAACTTATTATATATATATTAAATATAAACTGGTAAGTTTGATAAATCTTTGTTCATTTTCTCCATGTTTTTTGCAAGTTATAGCCCAAAGTGATGACTACCACAATCAGCAAAATAAAATATCAAAGGAAATATATCAATGGAACTCAATCAAGTAGAAACTGCTTATGTATATAAAATGGAAATTTCTGATCATTAATTGTTTTTTACTCTAAGATGAAAGGAAGTATCTTTAAAGATTTGTCAAACTGTTTTTCAAAATAATTAGGAAATTTTACATCATAACAAATCACAGGAAAACTAAATCAAATAAATGATTTTTGATAATATTTTAATAGTTTTTTTCTATGTATCATGCAACTCCACTAAGTGTTTTCACTGTGAGAAGGAAACAAAATCAAGGCATTCTTTAATATATAATTTCACAATCATCATGATGAACAAACAAAATTTAAATGAGAAGCAACTGCCTAGTTCAGTGTGACACTTGTGGAGAAAGTCTTGGAGGATGAATTTACAAAAGTAGTACAGATGGAAAGGACGACATTTTGAAAAACTACCAATTTTTGGTCTTCAGGTAAGCTTCACTGTTTTTTGCAGGGGTTTATGTGCTATCTGGGAGGATTGAAATGAACATGACTTAATTGTCTGGTGGTTCTTGTGACATTTAAAAACAAACATAATAAAACAGACTTACATTAGATGAACTGGTAAACATTTTAGGGTAAGCGTATAGTAACATACAGACTACACAAGTCTGATGAAAACACAGAATTATGCCATGTTAACTGGAAATAAGATAGACTGGGACAATTCCAGAAACACTGAAAACAAGAAAAATAAAAGAATCTTTATACATCAACACAATGAAACTATCACTAAACAGAGACTTGGGCCTGGAGTTCAGCAGTTTGTTGACTCATCAGTCATTCTATCAACTGGAAGAACTAGTGTAACATGACTAGAAGACAGGAATCCTTTGAAATGTCACCCCTTTCTATACATGCTATTTTTGTAGATAAACCCTCCAGGACTTTCTCCACAAGTGTCACAATGAAATAGGCAGTTGTTGTTCATTTCACCTTTGCTGGATCAAAATCAAGGGATATCAGTGATACATCTCCAATCTGGAAAGGGTTAATACATGTTAACTAAAGAAAATATTAACTGCTGATTTTATCTCCAAATACACTAAACAGTCTAAGTTTTGTTTGTTTGTTGGGTTTCGGGCAACTCTACATGAGGGCTATCTTTTTAGCCATCCTTAATTTTGAAGAGATGGACTAGAGAGAGAAGGCAGCTAGTCAAGAACACCCACACCAACTCTTGTCAAATTGAATAGTAGGATTTAACTGCCACTCTTATATCACACCCAAAGCCTTAAAGTGTCAACATTTTTCTTAGCCAGTAACAGGACATGAACCGTGGAATCTCAGCTCCACAGTCAGCCATGTTAACAACTAGGCTGTGTTTGACCTTCCTAGTCCAAATATTAACTGCTGTTCTTCCTATCAATTAGATCTGTAACATAGAGTTCTAAATACGATATTTGTATGCAATAAATTATTTGAGATTAAAACTAATCATACTGTTCACAGCAAAATATCAGCACAGTCACTGACATTACACATTAGTTGATGTCTGAACACTAGAAAAAAATTTTATATATTGTTGAAGTATGGATTGACAACTAAATCCCAATCTACAAATTTCTGCAAGTAAATCTTATCTGTATTGTATATTATTGTAAGGTTAAACATTTGTTTTGATTACACACAATAATAATCATTAACTTGAGAATGAAATACTCTATCATGACCTTCCTGTAACATACTTCACAACTGATAACAAAGTCTAGTTTTATACATAACTCTCTGTATCTTTACGCAGCATATAATACAGACTACATGGAATTTGACAAGCTGAACACAAAGTATTCATTTTGTAGTGATTAATCCAAGCACATTATTTAGATAGTTGAGTAATGATATACTTGTTTAAGTAACGTATTAAAACTGATATATACTTTTATAATGTACAATATTCGTGAAGGTGCAGAAAAATTTTTTTTCAAGAGATAAAAAAATGATGAAATTAATAGCAATGTTTGAACATGTTTTAAATAGTCAAATACTTATCATACTTAGCATATGCTTTAAGTTCTTCATAAATATCACCTTCCATGTCATCTTCAGCTGCTTCACGTGCCATCTCGGTATTTAGTTTGTATGCAGTGATGGCCTGAAATAGTGTTCAAATACTGCAGTTAAACAACTACATCTTTCAGTCTGCTGAATCATAACACTTAAATAGTGTTCAAATACTGCAGTTAAACAACTACATCTTTCAGTCTGCTGAATTATAACTGATAAATATTGTTCAATAACTGCAATTAAACAGTTACATCTTTCAGCCTGCTGAATTATAACTGATAAATAGTGTTCAAATACTGCAGTTAAACAGTTACATCTTTCAGCCTACTGAATTATAACTGATAAATAATTTTCAAATACTGCAGTCAACCAATTCCATCTTTCTGAGAAAAGCAGAGAGCCTGCTTAATTATAACTGATTTTTTTATAAAATTTAATGCTTACGATGTGTGTGATCTATAATCAATATGATGGCACAAGATATAGTCAAGGGGTTATATTAATGACTTGAGGCACCATTGGAGATACTTTCTTACCAATTTAGGGGTCTTTCTATGTACAATGCCATTGGATAGATAAACATGAAATAGGGAATACTAAGAAACACATCAAGTTTAACAATCAATCACTTTAGTAGGCATACATTGATGCTTTCATAACATAAATTCAGATTATATATATATCCAGCTGTACGTTTCTGTTAAATTGTGTTCAAAGTATGTTACACAACATATAATACCAATCATATTAGTGATAGCATTTATTTTCATCAAAATGTTACATAATTTACAAAAATAAAAAGTGGTTTGCTTCATACATTATACAGTGCATTATATTACTGTTCATGTTGTCACATTCGTTCATGCTCTATTTGATGACTATATATCTTGACAATAGCCTTGAAGCATGTTTTCATTCAAAAGGCTCCATCATGTCTAAAGCACTCCCCTCCTCCCTGCTGCTTTACATAAGCCATCTATTGTAGGAGTAGAATAGTTTTCTAGTGTCTGTTTCAACAGTCAAATCTCACAGAAATGCTTAGGCATTTGATTAAGTGACTTGATTTATATGTTTTGATATAAAATATCAACAAATAGCTATTTCATTTTCCAGATACCAGAGGTATGCAATGGTTAAACTGATATATAATGTGCACATGACTTGTGTCACTTTTCCAGATGGAGATCCTTCTTGATAATGCTATTTATTCTTACCTTGAACATGTGGACAGCTTTTGCCACTGACCTTTGTGTTTATGGATTCTCGCTTATTAGAAAATACCATATTTTGCTTACCAAGACTAGTTTCAAGTCTCTTTCTGGATGGACTTGGTGCCCAAAGTTAATCTACATTCCTTTGTTTACTAATGCTATTAAGTACAAGGGATATTTCCATCTTTAAAATTCTAAATCCCATATCTGAACACATCTTTATGATTTAAGTGTATGAATATTTTGTGTCAGAAAGGGCTATTGCATACCCTTTCCAAAAGTGACCAATTTTTGGTGGCATCACACAGCATATGAAATGTCAATGTCAAAATATTATTCTGACACATTCAGTTTCAATGCAACTTTATCAGCTGTAGTTGTCATGTGACATTCTGATTTGCATATTCAATATAGTTTTAATATAATGTACTCAACCCTCTGTATAAAGTTTTAAAAAATGAAAATTAATTATAATTTTTTTGAAGCATCTTGTTTAAAAATGTAAAAAGAATGCTGTGTTTCTATCATGTACCATACTTAATCTTTTTGTCTACTTTATACAATGTTAGAGGTTTTTACCAGGAAATGTTAAAATTAGAAAAAATTAATTGTGTCATTGTGGGATGAAAAAAAAAGGTACAAGAATTCCTCTTGAATAAAAAAAACACATTTTAACAGTGGTTAAAGAAGATGAAACACAAATATTAACTATTAAAATGAAAATGAACAAAAGATAATCAAGCATTTTATTTTTGCTGCAAAATCAGATGTACAGATTGTTTATGCAATTCTAATTTCCATGAAATTTTTAATTTTAAATTATGAAAAAGAAAGTAACTTGGTAACAATGCAAATCATCATACAAAATCTGTATATGAAGATTTCTATTAAGCCTTGACGAAGCACAACTTAATACTAATAATACAGTAATAATAAAAATTTTTTTTTTCAATCATTAACCTTAATAACATTTCATGACATATAAAAATACCTTTTTTTTTCTAGAATTCACTTACTCTCTACTTAGAAGGAATTTTTACTTACATATTTGTAAAGAAATCATATACTTTTTTTGTTTACCTTAACCAAGGCTTCTTCTCCATTTTGCCACATATACAATGCCATCTGGTGACGTTTGGTAAGTACAGCCCAGATGATCAGTTCATTGAAAGGATACTTAAACAGAAAATTATTGTAACTATAAGAATCTCCAAGATTAGTAGTTCCCTGATACTGGAATGCCATTGTGTGGCTGAGAATAGGGCACTGAAATGTGAAAAACAGAATCATAAATATATGCAAAAAATTGTGATCTAAGGATACTCAATCTGAAATAAGAATAAAACTATTTTTCTTATTATCTTTACAAATTCCTATGCTCAAAGAAAGGAAACCACTTTTTTTCCCCAGATAATCAAATAATAATAATGTTGTAAAAGAAATATATGAATAGAAAAATAATTACCACATGATCAGAATTAGAAATTTCCATAATTCGAATACTTAGTTAATATCATGTTTAAACTATCATAGAAAATACACTATTTCCAATAAGTTATTGATATATGTATCAGGTAAACCTACTTTTGAATTCAACTATACAACACATCAGGAATTTTACTTTTACAAAAACTTTTGTACCAACTACCTAACGACTACTTTATTCAAAAATCAAAGAATGCATATTCAAACAATGATAGAGAGTTCAAGCTCTTGGTAACTTTAAGGTATATGAAAACTTACTGTTGAAACTTTCTTCATCACATTGTTGTAGAGAAGACGAAATTTTCGTCTACAGTACGACGATCTGTAAGCTCCTCCCATAAGCTTTTCAATGACCAAACCAATATCATACAAGGTGTATCTATACTCATGTGGTATGTTCTACAGTACAGAAGGTACAATAATAAGATACTATTGTTGAAATACACAAAATATAGTAATGATATAGAATATTCTAAAATTTAACACTGTATAATCATAACAGAAGATTTACTACCATTTATATAATAAATTTACACAATAAATATATCAAAATAAACTTGAATCCTCACTGTTTTTATCAACTGATCCTGTGTTGAAGAAGGAATATTGACTATAATTCAAAATTTACTACACAAAATATGGTTTTAGTAAAATGTAAATGTCTGTCGTACACAAAAAATCAGATGTGTTACAAAAGTATTTATACTAAAGATATGTCTATGAATTTATAGCTTCAGTTTGAATCAGACTTTGACAAGTCAAAGTGTAAGACTAAAAACATTGTATAGTTTGCATACTGTATTTGCATAATCTCTAAAACTTCCAAAATATATATATATATACAGTTTCTTCAGTATCCCTGTATAATGTATCTGGTATTTACTCTCCTCTAATACAAACTCAATAATGTGGAGTAAAATGAATAGTTCATAACTCCAAACTCAAATATATAAAACTATGTAAAAGGTTATGGGATACACATGCACATAGGAATAAACCGCTTTCAAAGCATCACAGGCCATTTTTCACTATAAAAATGTTCCCAAATAAACTTAATATTTCTTCAAAGTTAGCCATAGTATACTTTTTAGATGTACCTTAAGTACACTGTGGGTAACTCTGAAAACAAACATTAAGGTTGTTAAGGATAAATCTTTATACCAGTTTAATAAAGAACAGTAAGTAAGAAAAAAGATTCTAGGTTTGTTATATATATTCATCTTGAACCTATAGTTTATATATGGTCTGCAATTTCATTAACAGAAATATGTGAGTTTTGATAACTTCATTCAAGAACAATATGAATTTAATAAGAAAAAACTAGATAAAAGCTTATAATCTTCTTTGTATAATAAAAGCTGAATATACGAATATTAACGAATGTCTTCACATTCTCTTTGCTAGTAATATTTTCATTTTACACTATCAAGATGAAAGCAAGTACTATTTAATATAATTTATTCTTGAATTTAAAATAAAAACACTAAACTTCGCTTAATGTTACTATAAAAATAACTGTCTATTGCATAAAACTGTTTCAATGCATGCTTTCTTTCTCTATATCTTTACTTAAACATATATTTTACATACAATGAATTAACTGTGTGCAGCAACTTACTTTTTTGACATCTCTTACCAGGTATTGTAAAGTGTTGGTAGGACCATATTTCTAAAGCATATAAGAAAAAACATCAATATAAATTATAAGGTATTTTTATTTTAGATGGTTTTGGTTAACAGTGTGTACTAGATTGCAAAGTTTATGAAAATTAAAATATGTAAATACTTCCTTTTATTATTATTATAATTAGCTAAATAAACAAGTAAAAATAAAGTCCAGGTTATGCTTCTGCTAATCTAAAATATGGAGGCTTCAAACTTTGAAATTTATAGCCATTTGATGGGACAAGTGGATTTACTCCACGGCTTCACAAAAGTCTAGAAAAGATCAACTTCTTAATTTAATTTTTTGGTGGATAATTGACACTTTTGGGGGACCAGCCCGATATGTTTTATGCACTAAAACAGTTAAATTATTTATCTAGTTATTTCACATTGCACTTCTGTGTGATTTCAATATGAAAATAATAATTCAAAGGTGCGTCTTAAAACAATGTTATACTCAATGCAAACAAAAATTACTTGTTATTTCCAATAGTGGTCCTGTTAGTACTATCGGTACTGACAAACAAAACACATGCAAAATAACAAGTCATAGCCTAACACCTAATATTTTTGTCTATGATTGTTACTTTAAACATTTATGTACCTAAAATAATATGTAAAATATATTTTTCACCTTACACAAGATGTAATGAACACCAGATTGACGCATACTCCTCTGTATAAGGTACAAAATATAAAACATACTACAAATGTTCATTATGTTACGCTAAAAAATCAAAATTGATTAATTTTTACAGTAACAAAAGTACTGTTTATCTATAACACAAATTAACAAGTTTTTAGCTTAATTTTTTTTAAAAGTTGATCCTGTAAAAAATAAAATTTCTGTAACATTTTCATTCTTAAAGATTCAAAAAAATACTGATATTTAACTCAATAAAAAACCTGAAGCACAACAAAAAAAGGTAAAAACTTCCAACATTTAAAAAAACATGCTTCATTAGCTTTAGAGATAGAAATATTGCATTTGATAGAATCTTACTGACTGAGACTTAACCTCATTTCTCTTGAAATGATGAATATCTGGGGCATAAACCATTTTTTATGTTATCTAACTTTAGATTTAATAGATAACTATAACATAAATTGTTCTCCTCATTTCCATCAACTGACCTGATGACAGACTGCAGCATTAACCATTATTTCCACAAATTACAATAAAGAACTTGAGTATGAAATGTTCTTTCTTTTGCTGCTAAAGCCACTGTTTGCACAATCAGCTTTATATTTGATAAACAGCTGTTATGTGAAGTGTATCTCTACTATTGCTGAAACATCTGTTCTTAGGACTTACCATAAATTTGATAAAAAAAAATAAAAGAATTCTAGCCTGAAATGCTTGCTCCTATTCTTGCTTAAACCACTGTTCACATGTTGAACTTTGATAATAACTGTGGTAGAAAGTGTTATCCTATTTTCTATCTCTAGAACTAATGAAATTATGCCATACAATACCGTCCTATTATATTTAGTTAATTTCGTTAGATCTCCTTTTTTTTTGTACTTATAATCCTTGATACCTTAATCCATTTTACTGATAAAAATATATTAATCCTTATAAACATGCAAATATTATTCAAATGCAGAGATCTGTAGAAGTTTAACAACTGGAAATTTTTATCTCTGCTAATGGAAGTATTCAGAACCTACAATCCAGTATTACTTACAGTATTATATAGCTCTTCTAACCTAGGTATGGTAAGAAATTTCTGCATCGTGACACCATTCTCCTGAAGTAATTTGACAAAGTCTACTCTATCTAACACCAGGGCATCCATCATTGCAATTTCTAAAGATCCTGGCTGATGACAGTAAAAAAACAAACAAACACTTTTTCATTATGTGTGCTATCTGTCTTTCTCTTCTACTGCATACTTTGAATATTTTGTTAATTTAAAGAAAATGTCTTTAGAGTGAATTAGTAACTTTTTTAACATATGACTATCTTTGTAAAAGCACATCTATTCAATACACAAGATCTTAAATACAACTTCATTCATAAAATCAAGTCCTGATTCTTATGATAAATACCAATTTCAACTTTCATAATAGATACCTCCATTTAGCTTATAAATTAACATAAAAATGCTCTTTTATATTATAAAATAATAACTCTGACATATGGATATGGCACTCATTCTATTAACATTTAGAATTTTCATCCTGTAGCCTGATGTTGGTTGTGTTATTGTGAAAGAAATGAAAGAAAAATTCTGAATAACTGAAAATATTTTTGGAACTTGTATGAACCTATTTTGGAAAAATCATTCAATTACAATACATTGTACATGTACCAACAGTGTGTATTATATATATCATACAACGTCCCATTAAGTAATACTTGGTTCCTACACAGTAGCCTTTTATGTACGAAAAGAAATAGAAGGCTCAAAGTAGAAAACTTTGAAACATAAATAATCATACTGCACCTCTCAATGTTGAACAATAATTTTGGTTACTGTTAATAAAAAATGGAAAAACTTAATAATCCTAACATTTAAAAGCAATTTCAAAGATAAACTTTACAATTTATACCTTCTAAATCTTAAAAATCTTACTAAAATTTAATAGTTTTATAATAAAAATATGTATAAATCATAAACAATAATATCAACTAAAGGTATCTAAGGTTTTCTCCAATGTACAGAGAGTGAAAGAAAAATAAGCAAAACAATATTAGTCTAACAAAACTATAATATCAAGGTATATGTATCTGCAAAAACAGTAGCTCTGATAAGCTTAGGTATTGAGAGAAGGCCTCTTTGGCAATATCTAACAACTAATACATTTATTTAGAGAAATGCACAAAATCCACATTGAGCCAGTTAAGAGTGATATGTTTAATATTATGACCTGTCTTGTACTATATTAATTTTGTATTGTAGGTTATGTATCATAAGTGCCGAGAAAGAAAGAAACTCACTGGCCATTCCTGCCCATAAACAAAAATCTCTGATCGAGCAATATCTGCTCGATTCCATGTTAAAGCCAAACTTAGTTGATCTGGTGGAGGTAGGTGATGTCCTGTGAGGAGAAATAACACTAGAAAGTCAGACTTATAGGTGATGTTTTATTGCAAGATACAGTAGTAAAAAATTAGAAATTAGAGTGATGTTCTATGATAAAATATAACACTAAAAAGTCAAACTTATAGAAGATAATAGGTAACAAAGTTTTGTATTAAAAGATATAGAAGAATAATAGTTATAGGTGATATCCAGTAGCAAAGAATAGCAACAGCTATCAAGAATTATATGTGGTCATTTTGATGGAAGATATCAAGTCAAAATCAAAGTTTAAAGTTGTTCATTGTATGTAAAGAAACACCAATAAACAGAATTATCATGTGGCATCCAATCTGGAGGTATATAAAAATGAACAGTAATGCATATAATTGTTGGTGCACTTTTGTAGAAAAATAGAAATAAAAACATAGTTATAGACGGTGTGCTTTGTCAGGAGACATAGATTAACCCTCAAGTCATCAGAAGACCCTAAAAAATGGAATGTTGGTAAAATAGTTTAGTCTCTAAAAAGTAGCTTATTTATCATCCTTTAGACTGGCTAGTTTATTACTATCTCTATCTAACTTAGTGTGTTACATTCCATACGATCCATGAGTGTCTTGTTTGATTGTAATTCTTTGATCACACTGTCTCATAGATGTTGGTTATAAAGGAGTATGATAGCAAATACAATACTGAGATTCAATACAAAGACGATTAATTATAAATTATGATCCAATGACTATGTTGGCCAAAGAAGATTACTGAAGTCACTGTGAGCTCTACATACGAATTTTGGAAAATTTCAGTGGAGTAGATTCTAAAATGCTGGCCATTAAGTTCGAAGCACTTATCGATTCGAAGTTAATGGCCAGCAATACAAACAATTATTTTAATAAGGAAAAGGGAATTACATTTTTTTATTGTTATTCAAAATCCCTATAGGGTGCACCTTTTGTCCTATCCTGTACACTTCTTTTAAAAGAGAGAAAATATAGGAAAGAATCTTATGAACATAAAAACTGTGATTAAAAAATTATAATTTTAGAAACTTGATTTTTAATACTTTTAAATAAGCAGATTTTAAAGATAGACAAGCATGAGTCACATTGTTAAATAAAATGAAATGTAAAAATTAAAATACTAAATATACATGAAAAAATGTGAAAATCTTCATCCTATCACAAAAAGTTGTAACTATAAAATTACAAACGAACGAACAGTAATTATTTGAAATCCTAATTGAAAAACTTAAATTCCCAATTTGTTCAGATGTACACAAATTACCTTTTAGCAAAGCTGTCAGTATTGCTTGGTCAAGTTCTCTACACGGCCCTTCACCCATTCTGAATACAGTGATCTAGAATATGTATTACAACAGTTTATTTTAGGATGGAAGAATGCAATTTTAAATTCTATCTCAATAAATTACAATAACACAAGTAGTTTTGGTCGGTTTCCTTCAATTGTATTAAAATTAACATTTACGTATCTTATATACAATCTTTACTCGTCTGGAAAATTACATAATTCAGTTATCAGTATTAACTTTCCTATCATAATCACTTTTCAGAAGTGAGCTTTAACACTTTTTCAAAGCAACATATCTTTAAATTTGGAAACTATATTAAACTGAAAAGTCTCGACCAGAAATAAAAGAAAATCTGCAAAAGAATTGTACAAAAGACATATTTATGTACTGCTTATGTATAAATTAAAATGCATATAACATTTTAAATTATAGGATTGTAATAGAAGCTATGTAGAAGTTTTGGGGGTGTGCTGTGTTTATTTGGTTATCAGTGACAGTTTCATAAAAGCAGGCTACAAAAAAATATAAAACTTAGTCTTTGAGTAACAAACTGATTTTTAGAGACAAAACATTTTTTTAGTTTGCCCTTAGAATGCCTACTATTCACTATAAAACTTCAACAAATCTGATAATCTCTTCTAAATGCATTTATTATTTATTTTTGAGCATGTATAACTGTAAAGTTTTCTTTTTTTTTCTACATCAAAGCTCACACGCATTAAAAGACATGATATTTGAATCACCACTTTTAGTTTTTTTACATAATATATCCCTGTCAACCATAACACAAACATTTCACTGCAGGCTGTTTATACAACATGAAACTAAATCTGAGATGATCTGACATACTCAAACTATATTTATCTTTAATAATGAAGAATCAATATAAACAGTATTATATCTCAATCTGAATCTTAAATGGATAAGTTAAGCAAAACTTAAAAAACATTTGTAATTTACATGATTTTATCACAAGCTTCAACCCTACTGGTTTCCTGTGCATTGCTAGCGCTTGGCACTTAAGCTGCAACTTTTAAAGTATTATATTTTATTGTAGTATCAACAGGTTTTTTTTTTTTTCAACAAGTCGTTTACAATTTTCCACCTCTATGAAAATTTCTCAGCATTCCAAGTGATGATTTATGAAGTAATGTTAATGGTATCAACTGTCACTCTTGTAATCAAATCTCTACTACCATATACAAATTATAACAAGTGAAGTATCAGGTGCATAATACAAAAACAAACAATATTGCAATGATTAGTTATTTTGGTTTTTTCAACATAAATTCATTTTAAAACACTTGGATTTCAAATGACCAATAAATGGATACTTTCAATGTAACTGTTATAAATTGGAGCAAATGAAATGAGGACAAACCTTATCAAATCTTAACAGTCTCTTCTCTATCTCTCTCAGAAAACATCCCAAAAATTACAATTAAAATAAGTAGTAAAATTAAACTAAGTACCAAGTCTTTGCGTCGAACACAAGATACCAGCTCTTTGTAGACTTGTTCAGCTTGATCTTTATTGAGTTGAAAAGTTTTCTCAATCGTTGCAATCAACTGGTCCTTCATGTTGTCAATCATCATTCTGTTATAACCATAAAATTAAAACTATCAACTAACATTTCCTGTATAGATGCACTTTCCAAAATATAGATGAAATCTGTTATCCTTTGCAAATTACTTGCTGAAGATCATATATTTAATAACAAATTTTGACATTTTCTGAGTTAGTACTACTTACACAATATAAAAAAAGAACAATCATGATTATCATTGCTTGTTTCATTATCACAGACATGATATATAATAACTAATTTTATCATCTTTTAGGCCTAGGAATATTTACATATATATCATAACACCTAAAGAAACCCACTCATCATCGTGGATATATTTCTGGGTGAAAGCCAAGAGGTCAGCAGCTCTTCCACTTCCATCACAAACAACTACAGGTACTGGTGGGGTATCTGTAACATATTCTAACACTGAACGAATGGTATTAAGTCCTCCTTCCACCACCACACACACAACAGGAACTCCACAACTTCTCATGTCACTACCTAATATAAGCAATGGAGAAATGAACCCTTCTTTTACAAATACATTCTTCTAATTGATTACACAAAACATTATGAATAAAGTGAATAATTAAGAGAAATACTGAAATTTCTGATATTACTTAAAGTTTTGACAAGAAAAACAACTGATGAAAAATGGTTGATTTAGAAGCAACAAAACAATTCTAGCACCAATAAAAAAACTAGGGATACATACAAAATACAAAAGGTAAATTTAACATAAATCCATTTTGGCAAGTTCTCAATTGATCAATTCCTTTACATTCTTCATTTTGTGACAACATTCATGGTTCAAAGAAATGTCAAACAATAAAGATATAGCTCTAAAGTGTACCAAAAATATTCGAATAACACGAGTAGTTAAACTAAAATTAGATCTACTTTTATTTTGGACATGTTTGTACTTTTCAATTAGGCTGCTAAATGTTAGCATAACTTAACACATGTATGTCAGCGATGTAGGTTGAGTCATTCTATAATTTGTTTGTGTTATGTTTATTTAATGAAAAAAAAGATTTCATTTGATATGTGTTTTCTCTTTATTTGTCATGTATTTTCAATATTTACTGAAAGTTCTTTATATGTTCCTAACACCTTATTGATTAACATCATTAGTGTTACTTCTTTCACCAATATAGGAAGTAAATACTACATACTGTTCAGCATTTACTGCCTGTACTATAATTTCAGTAAAAACATTTAATGAAAGGCCTATTCCTCTACATTAAATTAAAACATAATTACTGCATACATATATAAACAGTATTTAAGAAATTTTTGTATTTTAGTTGTTGTTTTTGAAAAGTAATTCCTCAAAGAAAGTTAAAAAGATAAACAGTGAAAGACAACTTATGAAAGACTAATATGTGATGATGAGTTTATGTTCACTTTTTATTAAACCCAAGATTTTCAGATGTATATGTAAACTGAACCATCATACAGTAACAGTAAGTTTTCAATCATCTGCTTTCTACGATGCTGAACATTAACTTCATACCCAAGGACATACTAATCAATGCTTTCTAAGCTTTTACAAAAATCACAAAGATCTCAGCTTAAACATACTTACGTGCATATATCTTTTGCTTAGAGATGTACTTTTCAAGCTTCTTCCTCAGGGCAATTTCGGCTCCATACTTGCCCACTGATCCATTGTCAACCAAGATGAAATATGAATGGTGGTTGTTTAGCACAGCAAGTCGGCTCTTAGGAGATGAAATGCTATGATAAGGAACCACCACCTGAGGTAAAAAAAACATTACCATTAATCTCCTTTATTGAAATACGAGACATTTTAGTGAAAATCATTATCTATATATATCTTGCTTAACTAAATATTAGATTTTGACATATAAAATACTGCAATAAGCAAATAACACTTATCTTTAGAGACTTTATTTTTAATTAACTATACACAGGACCTTTATCTACTAGTTAGATTTGCTGGGGCTCAGTTTAATAGAAATATGTCAAATAAACTGTAGTTACCCAACAATTAAAATATTTACTCAAAGCTATCATCTAAAGGGCAAGTTTCATGAATTACTTTAAATTTTTTCATATTTTAATTAACAAATAATAAAAATTTATGAATCTGGAAGAAATTTGGTCAGGGAACATTATTTACTTGTTCAGAATAGACTGATGTTAAGCTTTGAATGTAATAAGAGACGTCTCTCACAATGTCAAACACATAATGGACCTTGAAATTGTAATACAGTTATGAAGTTTATCAATTATTACTTATTCATATAAAGAAAACTCAATTTCATTTGCAAGATACAGGTATAAAATTTATATAAGTTTATTAGTCAAATGTAAATGTTAAAATTCTTATTGACTTTTATTTTCTTGTTGGCATTTAGAGAAGAAGAAAGGACAAACATGATGTTTAGACCTCTTCTGAATCAACAATGTTTATCCAATAGTTTTCAAAGAAATAGGCAAGCTTTTTACAGTCACATTCCTGCATTTATGATCTATCTTGTATGTTTGAATTATGTTTAATAACCATGTTTCAGTATCATAAAAACTTTTAAAATAGCTATTGAAAAAAAGTTTTTGATACGAGGTAATTTTTAAAAACATGAAACAACCTGTAAAAAATATAAGATTGAATGCAAACTAAAGTTATTTATCTGTTAAAACTCTGTGGAATAAAAATGCTTTCTATAAATGAATATATGGGTGGAAATAAAATATTTTTCAGTAAAAGTTTTGTGTCTTTCACAAAAATGATCTTAATCACTTTTTTATTTGTATTCTTCACTCCAGTTTCATCTTATTCTTGGCATGCTACTATTTGCTAATAGCAATTACGGTAAACAGAGAAAATGTATTTCAACAATGACCTGAAACAGCTTAACCTGTACTGTACAAAAAAGTGGCATAGACCAGATCTGCATGAAACCTTGCAAATACGATTTTTCCACACAAAAAGAATATGTTTTTTAAAATATTAAATTTTAGGACCTCATAGTTAACACACTTAAAAACTCGTTTATGCGCAAAATTGTTTGTTTGTCATTGAGCACAAACATACACAGTCATCATCACAATGGGCTATCTGTGCTGTGCTCTCCACAAGTAATTGAAACTCGATTTGTAGTGGTACGAACACTCAGACTTACTGCTGAGCTACTGAGGGGTGCACAAAATCTAACTCTCATGAACTGGTAGACCACTTCTGCAGAGAACCCCCCCACAATTATTAAAAAAAGATTTTTGAACACTAAATAAGATTATTAATATTTTACTACAAATTGACTCCTGAACAATGAAACATTTAAATAACTAATTTCTGCATCAAGAAAAAAAAGAAGAAATTTTTTTTAAACAAAAAAAAAGGAAATTCAAAATAATTTATATAAAAAAACAAAATACTTTATTACAAAAAAATTATGAATGAAAAGGTCCAGCATACAACTTTCAGATGATAGACATTTAGAGTCTTGGTACTAAAGTTCAAGTTGAATTGATTTTATGCTGGTCACTACTAGTGGGGTACACATATTGCATCATATTTAGTAATTTTATGCTGTCTATGTAATATGTATAAGACACCACTAGTAATTAGTAGATTAATTATTGACAGTATTTTTGTTTATACTTTTTGTGTTGTTATATAAAATTAAAGACCCTGCAATCAATTAAGTGACTGAGCGACACACACTTTGGTAGATAAATAGTTTAGAAAAATGTATTTAAAAGCCAATGAGGTCCACATGTACAATTAATCCCATAGTTAACTTAATTTAAAAGAATTAAAGTATCACAGATGGTATAGTGTAGAGGTATCTCCTAACCAATAACATTTAACGCAGTTTTAAAACTAATTCTCTTTAAATAATACTGAGGAAAGAACAATCTAAGTGACTAACTGTTATAAAATTCATTTTATGTTGGAAAATGCTAAAAACATTATTTAATGTATTTAGTAACTCATGAAAGATTGTTCATTAAAATAGATCAAACCAATGAATAAATTAATTTTGCTAATAAGTATTTAATATTTGAAATAAAATGCTTCCTGTCTTTCTAATTTCATAAATTAATTATTTATTTTCCAGATTTTTCAATGAATAATTTTAAATGTGATTTACAGATTTAAGTATTTTTGTAAGTTAAGATATATATAACTAAAAACTAAAGGAGGCAATTTTTTCATATTAAAACTTTACTATGTAATATTATTTATCAACAGCCTAAGATTATTATGGTATTGGTTTCGTTAAATAATATGAATAAGAATATTTTGGTATTTTTTAAGCAACATATGTTGTACTGTGTTGTATTGTAAAACCAACTTGATAACTTGTAAAAAAAGAGAATATTTCAAGTCAACACAATCTAATGATGTTTGAAATCAGTGGAGTTAGTGTGAAGGATGTTCTTGTGCTCGACTTGATTCTATTGGTTAAGAACCCCTGGTGTCTGTTGTTTTTTTACTGGATCAGTGGAGCCTAAACAAATGCTGATTTCAGTTCTTGGACCATTCTTCTTTGTTAACAATTCTGCAGTTTTTCCAATCTATGACTCCATTGTTGCCTACATGTTAAACAGTGAGAGATTTGTTGATTTTCGTTACTTGGATTGCATCTTGGAGTTATTTCATTTGTTGTCCCAAATATCTGACTCTTTCTCCCATGTATTTAACTCCACAGTTGGTGTTTTGTAAATTATTTCTTTAGCTTTAAGTTGTTTTAGTGAGTTTAAGGGCTGAAGAAGTTTGGATGGATCTATACTGGACTTGAACTTGAAATATCTTGCAAGTCTCCTGGACAGTATAGCTAAGCCTGGATATAAATAGAAGGGCAATGCTAGAACATAATTTTTATTTTAGGTTGCTTGGAAGTTAGTTGTTCTGACTAGCATACTTGTTGATATTCTCAGGATATTTTGAAAGTTGTTTTAACATATAGTTCTTCCTGATTGGAGAAATGTCTTACTTCGAACTTTAAAGTTCAGTTACATAGGCAGAAAGTTTAGCTTCTTTTGTCAGCATATAGGGGAGTTTGCCATGAAAGTGAGGTTTTGACTATGTGTATTGGTCTTCTGTAGATGTTAGTTGTAAAACATGGTTACAGCAAATCATGACATCCACAGGAAGAGAAGGGCTCCACTTGCTTCAAGTTGTAAAGCAATGAAAGAGAATGAAAGACACCTGAAGCACTATCCAACTTCCCATCCAATCAAATATTCAAGTTGTCTATACAATGTCAGGTATTTCATATTATGCTCTAAAGCACTAAATAGTGAAGGAACTATAAGTGCTAGATTTAACGTAAAAGACAGAGTTTAATTATGCTGTTTTTTTTCAATAGAAGCATTCAAAAGTCATGTAAAAAGTAAAACAGATATAAACAACATTTAATACCACATAAAAAATTTAAAAAAATTTCAATTTAGTCAGAACACTTAGTTGAAAGTAACTAATGATTTTACCCACTAAGTCTTTATTTTTTCCATTAAATGCCTTTTTTCAATTTTAACTAGGCTCTTCTAAAACTTATGTAAAAATTGCTTAAAATATACAAAAATAATTTACTTTGTCTAGTAAATAGTAATAAACACACAACAACAACAGTATATGATTATGAAATACTGTAACTGGTAAGTAGATGTTTTGGAATAGGTCAATAGGTTTTGTTCACTGATCATTCCAAAGGAGGTTACTTTTCTTAAGATAAAAGGAAATGGCAATGACTGTGATCAATTAGTGAATAATGTGGATGTATGAGCTGACTCTGTAAGGTGTGAATGTACAGGGTTGGAGTTACTATTGTACAAGTAATTTATACATCACACTTCTGGTAGTAATTTGTAGAGACTGAATTATGACTTCAGCAAGTGAACTGTACGATGAACACTTACAGATTTACAACTGTTGTAGATCACATAGTTCTTCTTAGGTGGAAGTAAAAATCAACCACTCTTAGTATAATGTTCCTGGTTATGAAGTGTAGTTTTCTTAAATAATTGAGAAATAAAAGTTAATGTGGACCAGCTTCAATAAGAAGTTTCCTCTGTGAAAGATGTTAATTTTTTTGTAAAAGTCACTGTCCTGGAAGTTTTTTCTGTGAAAGATATTCATCTTCAGTAGAAGCCACTGTCCTAGGACTTTCTCTGTTAAAATTCACTGTCCTAGAAGTTCTCTGTGAGAGATATTCATCCTCAGTAGAAGCCACTGTCCATGGAACTTTCTACATGAAAAAATGTCCACCTTCAGTAGATGTCACTGTCCTAGAAGTTCTCTGTAAGAGATATTCATCCTCAGTAGAAGCCACTGTCCATGGAACTTTCTACATGAAAAAATGTCCACCTTCAGTACATGATACTGTCCTAGAAGTTCTCTGTGAGAGATATTTATCCTCAGTAGAAGCCACCGTCCATGGAACTTTCTACATGAAAAATGTCCACCTTCAGTAGATGATACTGTCCTAAAAATTATCTGTGAAATATATTCACCTTCCCTATTCTCCAGATAATTTTTTTTTCTGTAAGAATTCTGTCAGTGAGTTTTAATTTTTTACAAAGTGCAGCAGTAACATTTTGTGATAAAAAGCAATTCAACTAACTACGAAATATTTTATAATTTCAAAAGGTGAAATTTGGCAGAGGATTAATTTAGCAAAATAAATTGCCAGATGTAGTTATAATAAACATAAATAATGACATTACAACTTTTTATTTTATTTTTTTACACACAACTGCATCATTCACGGGTACACCAACAGAAAGTTCTGGCAGTTAGAGTGTGCTTATTTTTGTAGCTTTACTGTGTGAACTGCACAGATCTTGTGCAGAAAACTACAAGAATGTGCTCATTCATTACTGTACTACCATTAAAGCGACAGAAGCCATACTCATTTCCCATGGCAATGAAACAACTTCTCAATATTTTAAAGGCCATAAATGGTCGATATTGGGTCAGGAATTATACTGGTACACCTCTTATCTGGAGCACTGCTGCAATAGAATATATATAATTTAAATATGCATAAGAACACTAAGAAGAGTCTGAACCAGTATTTTAATCTGAAAAATTGTGTGACTATGTTTGGTTTGAAGGAAGAATAAACAAATAAAACTATATTCATAACAAATAGTGTGCTAGTCAATCACTCATGTACTACTTACACTATGTAACAACACATTAATATAGCATTCATAAAGAAAACACAAGCAATGATAGTTATGTTTCTTTACTTAATAATACAACACACTAGCCTAAAAAACTGAACTGATGTATAAATAAAACTTTGTAGTGTACAGATGATTCAAAATCATAAAAAAAAAAGAGTACAAATTAGCCAGTATCTAGAAACATATTGTTGCAATCACTTTAGATAACAAAACTAGGTTTTTATTGATAATTAAAAACAGAATGATTTGTTGATTTGTTATGTATTTCTAAGAGATTCAGATTACCATAGCCATGTGGCAATACTCTAGAATTTGGTAAAAGTATAAAATCTTGTGCAATAGATGAAGAAGAAGGATAAAAATAAAAATGATTACATACTTATCATTAGATGAAAGCATTTGAAAGTAAAAAGCATGAATGTTAATATCAGAAGAAGGAAAACAGAAATATTACTGTTACTTAGTGTTTGTTTTAGAGAAAACTAAATGACAAAACAGTGAAGTATTTTACCTTTACTAAAGTAAAATGTTTCAAAACTACAAGATCTTGCATGCTTACATGCATTTTGTAGCAAATGTAGACTAAGTTAAGCTATACAATTTATATACTTGCACTGTGAAAATGAATTTTTCAAGTGGCTACATAAGAAGGAAACATTCTCTCTTATAAATCTAGCCAGATGTTATTCTCCCACTAGATTATGCAATTATGAGGTTCCTTTAAAGTGGACTTGACAATGAATGCAATCTATTCCAAACACATCAAGTTACTCTACAAACATTTCAAATGTTCTTTCAAAAACTTAATGGCCAATTTTCTATCCATTATATATGCATATCTAATAAAAAATAGGATAAACAACAAAAATTTTGTACACTGGTAACAAAAAAACTTAACTAAATTTTAGTTCCAAATAAAATATTTTAAAAATTAAAAATTTTCATGTATGAAGGAAATACATTTTCAACTGTACATATAAAATATGCTTATCAGTAGAAAACTATATTTACATAAAACATTTAATAAATTTTTACTGATATAATGTGAATACTAATAATATGATTCCAAACTTACATTGAAGGTTATTTATTAGGTCTTCACAAAATTAATGTCAGTTTTTTTTAGATGAAAAGTCCCGAACAACTTATATATATCAAAACAAATCATTAATTAAATGAAATAGTCTCCATTCTACTCGATGATGCTTTTCCATCTTACAATCAGGTTGTTAATGCCCTGATTAAAGAAATCACTTGGCTTTGAAGCAAAAAAGCATGTCATTGTCCTCTTTAACACCTTCCACATTTACATTAAGATGATGTTGCAGTAAACGAAAAAAATGGTAATCTGATGGTGCCATATCTGGAGAATATGGTGGGAGGGGGAGAACTTCCCAACCCAACTCCATAATCTTATGTAAAAGAATGTACACCTTTAAATGTATTTAAGCAATAAGTTGCTTGTGGGTCATGACTTTGTTGGTTACAGGGTCCCAAACAAAATACAAGTCACATTAAAAAAAATCAAAATACCATAAATACTACAATTAATCCTCTATATACCACTGAATGTTTTTTTATGTATTTCCCATAAAAAATGAGTGATTTCACCCAGTTTATTTGGTCAGCTCTTTACACTTAATATTATAACAGCCAAAATCTTAAAATTACACATTATGATGCAATACAACCCATCAGTAGTGAATGATATAGAAGCAAATTTGCAGGTTAATAGAGTTAAATACACAATTTAAAGAATATATAAATTAATAATAACAACTAACACAGACATGGTTAAGTGCAATAAAAAATATCTAAGTTCTTAGATTCGTACAATGCATTAAATTTAGAATAGTTTGGTAACTTACATTTTTACCAATTAATTTTTTTCTGTTTTCTATGATTCCCCATGGTGCAATACCTATTGTAACAACCCGTCCACGAAGTCTTGGAGTTCTCTCATTTAAAAGTGCTTCTCCCACATGTCTCATAACACCTAAAATAAGTTAAAATAAAATTCTGTTTTCCCTTCTTAATGAAATGAATGACATTACAGATACTTTTAATGTCCAAAGTTTGCATCAGAGGTAAAATAATATTTATAATGCTTCTGAATATCTAGAATGACTTACACTGAACAATAGAGATAAGATAACATTCACAATACTGCCTAGTGTACAGAATAACATATATTAAAAATTTGTGTTAGTTGAATCACAATTCTATGTATACTTGCACAATGACACACAATGAACACAGAAAGTACAGAATAGAGACATTCACAGAAATGATTAAAGCCATCAACTAAAACAAGCAGTAAATATAGAAAAGGTTTTGTCAAACAAAAAACTAAAATAAGATCTCAAAAAGTGCTCTGTAAAAGAAAGCACACTTTAGCATGAATATCTCTGCAGTAACTCATCCTGACAAACCTGTATTTGTTCCCGCAGTAAAGATCCAAGCACCCGTTGTTTTTGCAGCTTTCACAAATCCTTTCCTCAGAACTCGCTTCAACTTCGGTTGAAGTTCAAAATTTGCCTTTCCTCCATGAACACTAATGAGAAGCTTTGGTAGTTCTAGTTGCCACTCTCTGGTTAAAAGTTGGAGAACCAGCTCAGGCCTCGTATCGTAACTTAGTCGAACATACTGTAAACGCATACAGATTACTTAACCATAACTTATTCTATAAAATAGTAAAATATTAACTTTTTTTTTACCTAATGAAAAATATTTTTTATTCGTGAATTTTGAAATATTTTGATAACCATTTTAAAAACATGTTTGATAACTATGATAAATTCTGTACAAATATATCTAAAGGAAAAACAAAAGTCTGAGAGAAAAATTACACTTCTTTTGAGACATTATGGGAATTATGTTGAGGAGGTTCCCTTGGGGTCACTAACTGTTATGTAGGTAAACATTAGCTTAATTAGTTAGATCACTTTAGTAGAATTATGCCTATAAACTAAAAAGCAATTCCCTCCACCATCTCTCTTTTTTTAGTCTTAACTATCTACAATGATTTTCTAATATTTCATGAATAATACTTATAAACAAAATATAGTTTAAAAGCTATGAACTTAATTACCTCAAACATGCTCCACTTACAACAGGAATATTATTTTATCCCTACCTGGGCTTTAAGAGGATGAGGACTGCCTTGAAACTCAATGATACCAAAAGCATCTGTAGGGTAAGTTTGTGTATGTCGGGAAGAGGCCCAGTGATCTCCACTCGATACTGCTGAAGTCGCACTGTACAAGCTTTGAGCACCTGTGCTGTATGATGCTTGGATAGTATGCGATTGCAATGTCTGTCCACATCCACACCTAGTGGATAGTTTTAAACTATTAATAAAATATCTTGATCAAAATGAAATTACAAAATTATTAAAATTTTTAGCCATGGATTGAAAGATTTTTGATGAAGTTTTATTATAGATGTTCAGTCACCTGATAATTTCATCAACAGCCACTTTTAGAAACTCATATTTTGCTAAGAAAGTGTATTATTAATGTTTTAGAGCTTTATCATAAGAAAATTATTTTTAATGAATAAATAATGAACAAGATTTTAAATAAAAATTATATATTACTCCTAAATTCCTGTGACTTTTACTTACTCTGGGTATTTAATTCACTGGGTAAAATGTGAAATCTAAAGTGATAGATTGAATCTGTTAATGACAGGAGTAGTTACTTTCCATATACACAAAAATTGTAGTCAGCAAAATAAAGATTTTCACAAGATGCACCAAAAATAATGAGAAGTACTAATGTGAAAAGAATATAGAAACACTAAAAATGCAGCAAAAACATAAGGAAACACCAAAATTTATGAAAAATACTAACACAAATAGAACATTGGAACTCAACAAAATGCAGCAAAAAATATTATTATGAATATTAAAGTCAATAAGATACAAAAACCTTACAGATTGCAGTAGAAAAGGTGAGAAATATTAGTCAATTAAACACTAACCCCATGAGCTCAGGCAAATATGTGAAATATACAGTTAAGGTTAAAAAATCACCAAAATCTCAAATTTATGCCTAACACAGAAGAGAAGTATTAAATAAAAAAACAACAACAAAATCACTGAAATTTCACAAACTGCATCCACAATAATGAGAAATGTACAACAAAAGACAAAGAACACTGAAAACTTATAAATTGCAGTAATAACAGTTGATGAAAAGTCATTAAACACAATGAAGTCTTTCTAAATTGTGGCAAGACTCCTCTTTTCAGTTTGAGTTGCATTTACTAAATCTAATAATTTTTATTTTACATAGAACATAAATTAAACAAGAATATGAAGATTCCTCAAGTCTCATAATAATACATATAAATCAAAAGCCAAGTTTATTTTTATGTCAGCATGAAAAAACTTTTACATGTTCGAACATGTTTCCTGTTGTTAAACATACTACTTTTTTGCTGTAGAACCATTTAAAATAATACATAATGAAGCAATAACCTTATCCAAACAGTAAAAATATTTCATTTTTAATAACAAAACAATGTAAAATATCTGGTGCTACGATAATGTTTTTATGATTTACAATTAAATTAGGAGTGTTTTTCACTTCTGCTTGAGGGATGGTATCTTTAAATTCTGTGAAACTACCTACAATAGCCAAGAGACAATTGTTTGCTCCAGCCTACATAATGTAAAATGTATAAGGTGTGAACAAACAACTTTAAAATTTGAAATGTCCTTTCTTTACTTTCGTTACTTTGTCAATGAATTACCATCTTGATGAGCCTAAACTTTCTCTTTCATCTCATGTAAAACTTCATTTGTATAATGGGTTGATTAAATTCTATCATACAAATATTCTTGTTTTAATCCTACACATGCTGACTTCAACAATGTCACTACAGACAATGACATTAAAACTTTTGTCAGTATATTTTAGTCAACTTCTCATAATGTAACCATTACTGAATATCACCTTTAGGAGTCATACCACACTGAGCTTTATCTGTGACTTATCCTGACAATGACTTTACTTGTTGAACATAATACTAGAAACCACAGAAACAAAATATGATAAAGAATTTTTATCGTACCTGCTGTTGTCTTTCCCTGAAGGAATGTATTTGATGCATTCTCTTTTATGAAAATTGGCTTCAATCCATGAAGTTGTCTGTGTCTACATTACAACAGTCATACAACAACATATAAAAACAAAACTATTTTACTTGAAAATAATAATATATAAATTAATCTTTCATTCATAAATAAAACACTATTTTTATATAACATTTACATTTTATGTCAAATGATTGGTGAAAATTTCAACAGAAAACTTTTACCAAGTTACAAAATTGAACCTGTTGTCAGTAGTTACATACTTGATAAAACCCCATAATATCTATAACTGTCTGGTTATGATAAAAACAACTAGTGTTTTAATTACTAGAACAGTGATATGAAACCAATCACTCATTCTACACTCTATTAGGAAAGAAAGCAAAGAAAATGTGAACAGTTAGTTGAAACAATATAATAAAGTTTTAAATGTTTATAATCCTATAATATTACCATGAACTATTCAACAAGCCTATTGACATACAAACAAAATATGTATGGATGTACAGCAAAAACAAATTAAACATTTGCATAACTGTAGTATGTACACCAAATTTTAAGATAAACTCAGCAAATTCTTTATCAGCTATAGTATGAATTTTGTTACCACAGTACTCCTATTAAAAGGATGGTCCCTTAAAACAATATATATATATATATATATATATATATATTGGACATTGGAAATACTTTGAAAATGGGGAGGGAAAAAGTTTTATTATAAAAAGTGAACAATATAGGAATCCCAACTCCTCATTGTGTGAAAATGAACAGCACCAGAGTACAGTCACATGTTGACAGTCTACACCATGATTCTTCGTCATGCAGAAAATCCCATACTAGTATTATGCCTCTAAACGTTTTTCTTGTTGTTGGTAAGTAGAAAACTGCACAATTGGACTATTTGTTCTGTGCCCACCACCAATATCAAAACCTGGTTTTTAGCGTTATAAACCACCAGACTTACCACTGAACTACTTTGGAGGGGGAACCTCTAAAAGATGATGAAATCCTACTGTACCCAGTGGTAATAATGTGACTCCAGTCAGGGCACTAAGGAGTGAAGTACAAAGACCGGGTGGTGATGACTAGCTGCCTTCCCTCTAGTCTTTCATTGCTAAATTAGGGACGGCTAGCGCAGATAGCCCTCGTGTAGCTTTGCGCGAAATTAAAAACAAACAAACCTTTATGGATTATGTAATAATCTATATTCATTATATCTCGATGTGTTTCAACTATCATTGTTTTATTTTACGAGAAGTATGTACAAATCAAAGGTTTGGCTAGTCAATGATAATTTATGCTAAATTGTAGCAAACCCACATGCAAGGTTCTAAAGGAATACATGAAATTGGTATCGCTAATAATAAATGCGGTGGTTGTGGAAGAAAAACAAAACTCCCTTGCGAGATAAGTAATGACAACGGATTTTACCAATGACCTTGCTATAAATACAAGTGTGAAAATTCACCATTTACCTGCCATTACTCCTGGTTTGCAACTCCTTTGTGCTTTCTGTGCTTGAGTGTTTCTATAATTATTTCCAATACTGTGTATTAATTAGTATACGAACATCAACTTGCGACAACGCATAAAGTGCAGTGGAACCTCCCTTATTCCGAGGTTTTTAATGACACAATATGTAGTGTACATTAAACAAGACATTCATATTTCGTGAGGTTCGGCACATCTAACTTCAAAATCGTTCCTTCGTTTATGTCATATTTTGTATTTATGTTCAAAGTTGCAAACTCATATTAGTTTTATAGCACGTTGCTAAGCGAGGCAGCAATAAAAACTCCCTCTATGCTTACCAGTTGGTTACATAAATTTCATGAAATGAGGTCAATGTTGGATTTCCGAGAGTACTGGTGGTTATTAAACCATAAACCATCACGACTAAGATTATTCTGTCAATTTAAAGTTGAAATATAAGGATACGAGAAAAGATACAGGTATGGTTAAGTTATTGAACCTCTGAAATACCTACAGAACATCACTTTTACGGAAAGTTGAGAGAAAATACTAACAAAACAGCAACAACAACAAAAAAAACTGTTCTTAAGTTTGCTGTAAAAGCAAATTCTAGTTTATCATTATGCCATCTAGGGTTCCAGTACAGTATTTGTATAAGTTTAGAAAAAAAAAACGACCTTTATACTCCAGATATTTATAAAAGATCTTTCTTTATTTTAACCAACGTTTCGCTTTTGCGGCTTCATCAGGGTTAATACATCTTTACCATTATTTTTCATACGTAAGGCCTCAAATTTATAAAATTAACAAAAAGATGTTACATTAGGAAAATCACTGACCTGTGGTTTTCTAGACATAAACCCATCGGTAACTGCAGAGGTAGTAAACTTTGATTTGTCTGTGAAGAGGTACAGAAATCCAATGGCATTGCTGCCAATTCTGATTTGAAGTAGGTCTTTGCAACCTTAAGCTAGACTTATAAATATGTTTCTAACCGTTTGGGCATTGATAATAAATCATCGTGCTGTTACTATGTACATAATTAGTTCGTGTATACAGAGTGTTACTTACTTGGTGTTTTTGACCATTTCACAACCTTATTCAAGCTATACAGTGTACAGATCAATTTTAAAATAGTTTTCCTCATTATGGATCTGGGTACACCAAAATGAGCAGCCACTTGTATGCATGTTTGTTTATCCGATCTCCAACAGAACAGCTCCAACATTTGAACAGCTCTACATAAAAAGCTGTACTTTCAACAAAGACCCTGTCCGCTTTCATAAGGTAACTTTGTCACACAATTATATGAACACAATAACTAAGCCTGAAGCAAATGAATAAAAGTAACCACATGTGAAAAAGAAATGGATAACTTTATTTCCAGGGAGTTTTCTTTGTTTTGAATTTCATGCAAAACCACTCGAGGGCTATCTGCACTAGCCGTCCCTAAATTAGGAATGATAGACAAGAGGGAAGGCAGCTAATCAATATCACCAGCCACCAACTATTTTACCATCGAAGAGTGGGATTGACCGTCACATTATAGCGTCTCCATGGCTAAAAGGGGGAAGCATATTCGGTTACGGGGATTCAAACTGCGAGTCGAGCGCCCTAACCACCAGGCCATGCAAGGCCTCTTTCCAGGGGGTATCAAATTCAAAAACCACTGAAACAACTCCGAATTCTCATAACAAGACACGTGAAATATTCACGGAAATAATGAAAAGGGCATTTTTCCAGACCATATTAAGTGCTTCTTTCCTTAACTTTTCCTAGTTCTTTTGTGTATACAATATATATATATATATATATATATATATCTACTAACTAAAAAGTTAACGTAACAAACTAATAAGTAGTATTAACCAAAACGAAAAACTAAGTTACTATTACTAGTATATTATACTTATATTA